TCGGATGCGTCACCGAAAAGGTCGGCGGCGTCCACGTCTGAATACAACCAAACGACGGTCAGTTTGATGGAAACCATTGATGAGTTGTTCTCGGTCGTAACTATGAAGCATCACAGGCAGAGTAATGCGGGCAAAAGCACCAGTTCAATGGTAGACAATATACCTTTAAGATGTGGAAATAAATTGATAAATGCCTTCTTCATTCGACGGAAGAAGCATGGCGTAGCGACATGACAGCGGCCTTCAGGACTCTCTTGGGCCGATAGGCCACGACGCAAGAGCCCAAGCAGCCAGAAGGAACATAAACAACAGCAAAAGTACCACACACTTTTCCAATGACTCGTGTAACGACCTCATCCCAGCTAAACATTTTTTTCTTCTTTTTTTTGCGAGCCGCGGCGTCGACGTACCCTTCACGGACTCGTCTCCGTCGCTGTCGGTCTTGGCCTTCTTCTTGTCGGCCTTGGTGCTGCCACCAGAGTCAGAGTCGCTGACGACGGCACGCTTACGTTTCCTGAAACGGGTCACGGCGCGGGTCAGTGGGTCATCAGCTGCATTACAATTTACAAACACACGACTGAGGAACAGGAGCATGACAGATTCCGGGTTAGTTTAACGGTTTATATCAGCGGCGATATTCGCGAGCTTTTGGCCTATAACTGTACCGGAATAAAGTAAGAGAATTGATAGATTACCATGTCGTCGATAAACATCCTTTCATTAGCGCTTATTGCATCCTGTTCTATCGTGCATGATTAGGAATCCTTGCCTCCTTTACTTTCCAAGCTGCCACTCACCCCTCCTTGCCAGCTTCTGAGCCACCGTCCGAGTGCTCGCTGTCCGAATGAACTGAAAAGAGAAATAACAGGATCGATCACACGGGGGACAGATGAATGCAAGTTGAACATGTGAAGTGACTGATGCCAGTAGCTGAGTTATTTTGAAGTGACATAAGACAGAGAATGCGCTCAAGAACTGAGGCGTGACCCTGACTTACCAGAGGCGCGCTCGTCGGCGGCCGGCTGCGGGGACCGCGAGCCGGAACGGGACCGGCTGCGAGACCGATGGCTGCCAGACTTGCCGCTCTTCGCCGAGCCACGCGACTTCTCACTGCCAGCAGGACTGCCAGATCTGGATCTAGCACTGCCGGCAGGACTGCCAGATCTAGCACTGCCGGCAGGACTTCTAGATCTAGCACTGCCAGCAGGACTGCCGGACCTGTGGCTCCCGGCGGGACTGCCAGACCTGTGACTCCCGGACTTTGCACTGCCAGCAGGACTGCCAGACCTCGCACTTCCAGCAGGGCTTCCAGACCTAGCACTGCCGGTAGGACTTCCCGACCTGTGGCTGCCAGCAGGACTTCCAGATCTGTGACTGCCTGACTTTGCACTGCCAGCAGGACTGCCCGACCTGTGGCTGCCAGCAGGACTGCCAGACCTAGCACTGCCAGCAGGGCTGCCTGATCTTTGGCTGCCAGCAGGGCTGCCAGACCTGTTGCTACCAGCTGGGCTTCTGGATCTTGCACTACCAGCAGGACTTCCCGACCTCGCACTTCCGGCAGGACTTCCTGACCTGTGGCTACCGGCAGGACTGCCAGACCGGTGGCTGCCAGCAGGACTTCCAGACCGGTGACTACCAGCAGGACTTCCCGATCTTTGACTACCAGCAGGACTTCCAGACCTGTGGCTTCCGGACTTTGCACTGCCAGCAGGACTGCCCGACCTGGACCTCACACTGCCTGCCGGGCTGCCGGATCTCGAGCTGGCTGCGGGGCTGCCCGACGCCGCGCTGCCGGCGGGACTGGCGGAGCCGGCGCTGCCCCGCGGACTGCCCGAGGCGGCGGTGGCCGGCCGGTTACCGGAGTGGTGACTGCCGGCGGGGCTCGCCGAGCGGGAGGCACTGCGGCGCGGTGAGCCGGAGCCGGCCGGCGACGCCGAGCGGCTGCCCGAGCTGGCGTCACTCTCCGAGCCTGTGGACAGAAATATGATGGTATGTGATGACATGATATACGATATGAGAGGTAACAGACGGAACAAGACTAGGTCTAGGTTACCAGCTCATCAGAAATGATAAAAAAACAAATGGTTGTTGCTAGCTTAGGAGCATTAGTTCATCAAAATGAGCTAAAAATACATTGTTTCATTATGTTTGAATGCAATTATATCAAATACTTACCAGAATTGTCATCACTAGATGACAAGTTCTGATCATACACCATCTTTGATTAGTCAATTGATGCTATCTGGATTAGTCCTGGAACAAAAGCATTGGTAACAGATCAGTAAACAAGTAAACAACATAGTAAATTGTAGCCTGTAAGGCCTACAGCTTTAGAGATACAGAACAATGTTTTAGATATTTAAGGTGTAGAGTTAACAGGGCTATAAAACTGCTATCTCGGATTTTTTGAAATTTTTGGATTTTGAACCCAAAAAACCAAGTCTTGATTTTTTAAATATAACAACACAAAAATCCTTAACATTGTCTTGAATTTCGAAAAAACTGGAGTATATGTGATAGTCATAGATATAAAAGTCTTTCGTTATGCCCCCGAGGTCATCTCAGGTCACGAACAGAATCTAACAGTTTTTCGCTAATAACTTCTGATAGAGGCGTGCTAGAGCGCTGAAAACGCCTTAGATGTGTTCGGCTCGACGCTGCGGATCGACTGATATGCAACATGACCTTTTCCGGTCAGGTCATGACCTTGACCTGAGGTCAAATTTTCAAGTTGACCTTTGAATGTCAAATTATAGTTCATTCGACGCGTCTCGACGAGAGGAACACGATGCTGGCAAAAGTAATGTCATGGCTCTTTTGAGTCAAAAGTTATTGCCGAAAAAAAACGTTTTTCGTAAAAACGGCTATTTTTGGAGTTTTTGCCCTCTGGAGGCTAAAGCGTTGACCTGAGGTCAAATCTGAGAACATTACTCAGAAAGGTCTGTAAAAGGGCTATGGAATGCGCTTTTCCGCGGCGCTGTAGCTCTATCGGTTCCCGAGATAGCCGTTGGCAGTTTCCAAAATGTTGAAATAGTGAACATTTTACCTTTGGTGACCTCTGGTGACCTGACCTTTGACCTGACCCCAAAAATTACCGAAGTGTTTTTGTCCTTTTCTTGGACGCTCTTTCGATTGCCGCTTACCGCGTGTCGCTACGTGGCCCAGGAGCCGAGTTAGAAGGAGGGGGGTGTTCAGACACCCCCCGCCCGGCGCGGAATCTCAGAGTACCGGTTCGGCGCGGGTTAATGTGCTGATCCTTGGTGACCTGACCTGGTATCATCAACGACCTCTAATAGCAACATATGTACTAGACAACTTACACCATATCACTGATTTTCGACATAATGAGTTTTATTCGATGTTATACCCAGGCTATAGCACATTCCCTAGAAGACTCGCGAACGGCAAAACATTTTATCTTTGACCTGATCTGTGACTTCATCGGTGACCCAGTTGTCAATGAAATTAGAGTTCCTTCGACCAAGTCTACAGGGCAATCGAAGGCCGTTTGAATTTTATGGATCTACAAAGTAGTTTAGGAGATACGAGGGGGCAAAAAACGCCCCCCACTGCGCAACCTGCGGAAGGTGGCCGGGAGGCCCACCGCCTGCCGGGCCAACTCACCTGGTTGACTCGGCACTGGGCCTCCCGCTCTTCCGCGCGCCGCACGGTGGGGGGTATTTTCTCCCCTCATATCTCCGAAACTACTGGGCGGATCCATAAAATTTTAACATCATTCGCTAGCCCTGTAACATTTGTCGAAGGAACTCCAAGACTAAACGCCTGCCGGTTTAACAAAGGCTTAAACCAAGTTGCATTTGGGCCCTGTTTCACCGGTGATAGCAGCACGCTGCTAGCACGCTGCTATCACACGTGTCAAATTGGGTTTCCATGGAAACATCAACAAACCATGCCGTCGCCAATTTGTGCGATGTCATCAAATATAGCTGCCAACATCTTCAAGGCCGTGCGAAAAAATCAAACGCATTCAACGAGACAGCAACTCTGTTCCAAACGTAGCTATGAAAAAGCTCACGGATTACACGAAACGTCATTAGTGTGACGTCATCACATTACGTCAGCTCGCACAATTTGATAGTAGCGTGCTGCTATCACCGGTGAAACAGGGCCTAGATTTCATGCACCTCACATCAAAAATGGTCAAATTGAATCAACATGCAATAGGCATCGATAGAAAAGCAGCTCAAGCTGACATATTGGAAGCGCAGAGTGTCAGGTCAAGGTGATTCATTCAAGCCAAAGATTATCCTTTGAGTTATAGGGCACCATACGTTCTTTTTAACAGATACACAAGTGAAAATTGAAATAGACAAATTGCCTGTAAGGCCAAGCACGAACAAACACCCGCAAAGTATGTAAAAAACACTGACCAGCCCTTGGACCTTGGACCAGCCGTAACCTGCCCGTGGCCGTACCACTTCAGCAGTGTTATCAAGTGTTATTATTATATACCAATTTCTATACCTTGCCCTTGACCACTTATTCCCTGCCAAAATGCATATGCATGCCGTGCTGCCACGGCGGCCTGCATGCGCTGCATGCATTCGCGAATCATTTGCGGACCTTCAATCGTTCACGAGAGGCAAGAATACTGAATGATGACGATTAATGTTAAAATATGTTTAAGAGAGCGGTATTTTTGTTCTAAAATTTCTTTTTAGTCATGAAAATGATATAAATAAATCAAAAAAATTAAACATCATAAATTGTCATAAAAAATCTTGAAATTTTTCTCTGACATTATATATTATAGCGTCATCAAAAACATTACCTCGCGCACTCAGCAAAGTTGTTGGAGGCGAAACCAGCGCATTTGATGCCAAATAATGTTCAAATTAGTCATTTCAGCTACCTGCAAGCAGGTTTAGGCGATTGGTATACGTGGAAAGCAGACTCAGTGAGCAGATGTATTTTTATTTTTTGAACAGAATTTACGTTCCTTTTGCATTACACTTGCATTACCATTTGCATTACTCAGCTGCGTTTTGTGTCTGTCTGCCGCCTTTTCGTGCTGTGTTTCGTCGGCTGGTTACTGAGCATTGTAGTGTATTTGTTTGCTCATTTTGCTGTAAAAGTTGCTGTTGAGGAAATCTTTTTCAACATGTTTTCTATTGACACATTGATTATATTGGTAATTAAACCACATACTCTTAGGACGAATGGAACTTCGTTAAAAGAAAATGCTGTTCAATTCTTCAACATTGGAGACTCCTGATGAGATGATCCATGGTTGGTGGGAGCAACAGTTGCCAGTTGACGTCAGTTGAGAGGGATAGGCTATGTCTGGCTTTGAACTTTGAAGGGCACTTAAGACTTTGGCATCCAAATTTTCCCGTTACCTGGAATTGCGCGATCGGTTGGTGCTTGCGAAGGAGATGCTTGCCAATTAGATCTGTAAGAGGCAAAGGGAGCAGGATGCTCATAGGAATAATTGCTGCCTCTCTGTATAGTCTTCTTGATGTGTTTGTTGTACATGTTCTTGAAAATGTGAGGCCAGGTGGCTGGGGTGTACGCGGCAAGCTCTGCTCAGTGTGTAGGTTCAGGCTCGGTCAAGTCAACCCGTCCTGTCCATTCAAATGTTGAGCTTAGTTTTATAATAAGAACATTGTCTATTATACCACCATTGAAATTTAAAGGTCAAAGCGATTCAGTTCAAATTTTATAGATACCTACCCATATGATTGAATGATTGAATGAATAGGTGAGCCAGAATACTGTTTGGCTCTGGTCTTACTAGCATGCAGCTGGTTTGTGCATGTAGCAAACCTAGCTGCTGACATTTATTGGCTTCTCAATGCACAGACCACATGAGATTGATCAATGAAAAGCTAGAAAACTAACAAGCTGACAACCTGCAGATGGAAAACTGTGGTTAGGGTTGAGAAGTGCCCAGAGGCTGGTGCCCACACTAAAGCTTGCTGAAATTTTAGCAAATGTGTAACAAGTGAGTTTTGTCAGATAAGGTACCTAATACATCTAGGAAAAAAATGGACTGGAAATAAATACACGTTATGCCGAATATGTCTGGCGTAGTGGCAGGATTGTGCCAAAAATTTCAGTGCACATCCGGCGTAGCTTCGCATTCGCTGAATTCAGCGCCTGGCAGAGGCTGGATTATCTGGTGTGGGGTGGCTGCATAATTTTTGGGGGAAAGACGGTCACCAAATTTAGTCGGCACGCTGGTCAATCTAGCAGCAGATTCGCTCTGCAGGCGGCTTTGGAGATATTTCGGGACGAGACGTCTCCGCCCCGGTCGTCGCGTGCTCGAACTGGGGAGCCACCCTGAGTCTACTCAGCGGAGGAGCAACCACCCAGGTGACGCCTCAACCCTCGGCGTGAAGATAGGTATAGAAGACCTTGTTGAACATCGCCGAGCATCGTTAGGTAATACTGCAGTGGGTTCCTGTCCTGTCCACTGCGGTATCGAGGGTAAAGAGAGCGCAGACGACCTGGCGAAACAAGCAACCGCCCTGCCCTCAAACGCACGCTCACTGACCAGGGCGGTGCATGGTACGGCATCGTATCAATTGCGCGACAACTAACTAGTCCGAGTCAGTCCGAGTCTCTATTCAAGCCACTCCTCGTTAGCGGCGTGCACCGAATCTGCTGTCTCCACTCCGCGGCGTGCCAGCAGTGCCCAGGCAAGCGGTGCCCAAAACAATAAACAATCGTTGACTCTCACGCTGAACGCATTTCGTCGGACTCTGGAGGTGGATTTGAACTTTGAACGGACTCTGGATGTGAAGAGCTCCCATATGTGCTCATGAGTCCGGGACGCTGTTGCATATTCACCTAAACACCTGGTCACTATCCAGCAGAGTATTATTGTGCTGTGCTTATGTAAACTTCTTTTCAGTCTGCACTTTTTGGAAGACGACAACCAACATCATTCAGCCAACAAGATACACTGTTTCTGCTATGTAGTAATATTTTGTAGCTGTTATCCATATTGAAAGTAATCAAAATGGCTAATTCGGAACTGAAGTCATTATTTCATTTAAAGAGGTAAGTAGAACATATGCTAGATGTTCTCTCAGTTGCATAAAGTGCATGTCCGTTTTGAGTCATTTTTACGGTGTTACCTGTTGTGAAAAGGACATCATTTTCAATTAAATCCAGCCCTCCCCTACGTGGGCTCCGCTATTGATTTTTCGCTCTGGTGTTGATGCAAATGCTCCACCCCACAGGCTGCCATCTGGTCTGCCGCTGCTGCTCTGCCTGCTGTACACACCGCTGGGACTATGTCTGCTGGTGGTGCGGTTCTTCATCAGTGCCCAGGCCCTGCTGGCCTTCACTGTGCTCCATTCAGACAGCCCACTGCGCAGGTAACTACGCAATTAACTCCACTCGATTGGAGAGGTGTGATGTGACATTTGAGATTTGCTTTATAAGAATTACACTACAAGCAAGCGTGATAAAGCCTAATTTACTGAAAGATGTAATCTGGTCCTGGATGCCTAATTGAATGTTACCTCGATACACTGAGTTGGTACAAGCCTTCTCATCCGATATTGAAACACGCAAAATATCGCTACGATCCCTTGTAATGACGCTACGCGAGTCCTTTGGCGTGAATAAGGGCGTTATGCTCTCCTTCTCTTCGTCCTTTATGTTGTAACTCATGTCTTGTTACGAGCGATCGAGCGCAGCGAGCGAGCGAGTTCATACTGAATTAAGGGAAAATCCTGAGTATGAGCGGCCGGCCGTGAGGACGCTCTTCAAAAGCCACTTGGACGTAAAAGTTCTGTGGTGTGATGGCCACCATGCGTTCTTGCCAACCACCGCACGTGGCGCGTGGTAAAGTTGGACATTTTTTAAGAAACCCCAAAATTGCAACCTCAATAACGGCACAACCGTTGGGCCGATTGAATTAAAACTCGGTACACAGTTAGGTCTCCATCAGATAATTCATCTGCATGTGTTAAGGTTGGGGTGCTACAGCACGTGCGCACGTGCAGGGGGCGGTCCCAGATCTCGAACACGGCTGGGCCGATTGCGCTCAAATTTGGTACACGGTTGGGAACCAGTTAGTAGGGTGCCGTGCAAAAGTCAGTTTGGACCCCGCTTGCACGTGCGCACGTGCAGAATGCCGCTTCCAGATCTCAGGAACGGCTGGCTGGGCCAATTGCGTTCAAATTTGGCACACCGCTAGCGACCGGTTAGAAGGGTGCTTTGCACAAGCCCGTTGGAAGTACCCTCTCGCCCTTGCGCACGTGCAGGGCTCACTATCTCGCTCGCTCGTTCTTCGCCCAAAAGGTGTTTTACTGGTGTGCTACATTGGGAATGGTGGTGAGGGAACTACGAGGCGATGTCCCCCGTTCCCGCCCCTTCCCCCCAAGCCTGGTGATCTGGGTCATATTGTCTGCCGTGTTATGAGTGGTGGTACATAATTATCTTCTGATGAGAAAATGTCCTCATTTCTCAGTCTGGTGATATGGCTCATAGTCATGTCTGCTGTTCTGGTAGTAGTGGAACGCTCCTCTGACACCTCTATGTTTCCCTTGTCCGCAGCTTTGTGGTACGAGTCATGTCTGCGGTGCTGGGAGTGGTGGTTCGCACCGATCCTGACCACCGGCCGGACGGACGGCCGCGCCTGCTGCTGGCCAACAGTGTCTCCTGTCTGGACCCGCTGGCGCTCCAGCTGGCCACCTCATGCGACTCGGTGAGTGAGGGCACCGGGGGGTGGTCCGCCCGGTGGTGGTTCGTCCGGTGATGACCCATGTGGTAGTGATCCGTCTGCTGGTGCAGGCGATGGTGCGGTCTCTGCCTCTCTGGTGTTGCAGTGACTGTTATGAAGAGTGGCTCGTGTCCCACTCTTTATAACAGAGGAGATTGGGGAGGAGTGATGGACTCAGTTAGAATGTGGGAAATCGAAAAAGATATCGAGTGGCGGGGCGTGACTAGGAAAACGTCGTGCCTTGACATTGAGTCATCCGAACCGTTAGTAAGAAGAATGTGCTGTTCTGTTGTGGGATATATCAGATTGCTGTGCTAGATAACAGTTCTTACTTTTTATGAATATGCGAGTTGTTTGGTCTTATCTGACATTTTTTACTTAACTATGTCATGGGAGGTTTTTTACCACTATTTCCCGGTTTTGCCATTTATCTTGTACTTTTTTTGAACACTTGAAGTTCATCTCCTGACATCGCTGGCACGTGAATTCTTTCTTTTTTGCAAGGCTATCTCAACGACTGCGAGCACGTTCCGAATGACGTCACGTATCACCGGCGTCATCTGAGAAACGTGTTTCCCGCTCGTTTTTGTTTTTGCTTGATATTTTTGGTTTACCGGTATTTACTGTGCGAGACCATCTTCGTTGGGTGGTTTTCACTTGCTTAGTCCGAACTAAAGGCTATCGGGAAATTTCTTTGGCGCTTCGTTTTACGTTTATTTCATTGTTTATCATATCAATCTGACCTAACCGGCTTGGCGAGGTACTGTCATAAGATTCAGCCCTTTTGTCTTTTTGTAAGTTGGTAATCGGACCTGCTCCTCCACATCGGTATTTGGTCCTTACTTGTTTTCCTTTATCTGACCAAATGGCCACTGGCGTGCGCAGGAATATGCAATATGCATAGCCTCTAACTGACCGTGTCAGTCTCATGTAGGGTCACACTATCGCTGGGCTTCTTGAATGGATCACTATGCGTGTTGTCATGCTCTACCCTGACCTGTCAACACCAGGACCCCTCTGCGTGCTGTCCTGATCCGTCTCTGCCGACCCCAGGGCTGTGCGGCCGGCACCTGGTCAGTGGTGCAGTACGCCCTCCGTCAGCGGGTGCTCGCTAGTCCGGAGGCTGTACAGCAGTTCCTGGCCGCAGAGGGCCGCTCGCTGCTGCTCCAGCCGGAGGGCGCCAACACCAGCGGACGCGCCGGACTGCTCAAGTAAGAATTCTGTTCGGACGCGCCGGACTGCTCAAGTAAGAACGCAGGTCGGACGGCCGGACTGCTCAAGTAAGGACGCAGATCTGACGGTATCCACTGACTTTTGGAATGTTCAGTTCAGTAGATCGGTAGAGAGTCCGGTTTTTTGGTAGAGTGGGATGCTTAGGGCAGTAATAGGTGGTTTTACAAATATTTTTATAAAAATATTTTCATAGAATCATAGAGGGACAATGGTCCTGGTTCGTCTAGAGTACCTTTGCACACGATGTTTAATGAACCGTTTCATGCGGAATCTCGGAACGTCAAAAAGGAACATACAGAGCGCGTATGCAGTCACCTTTTGTCAAACGATTACAGCTTAACAACCATGTTCGTTTGATTGCTTTGTATGACCAGAGATAATAGTTCCCTTGCTCATTGTCTTTTTCCTGATGGGTACCTTTTGCAAGGATAGATATTTTTCGCTTAACACACCATTTAAAGCTTTAAGCCTGTTCTGGAAGTTACGCGCTCTGTTTAGTGATAGCCGTGATCCCTGAAGATGTGCTCGGATAGTTGCACAATAGTGGCTCCACTCTGAGTCAGCTCGATCATGGCCAAAGTTCAATGGCGGTCCGCTCCGTCGCGCTGACGGGGAAGTTTGCTACTTCAGTAGTCGGTGACACGGCAGACGGCGGTACGATGTGTCGTTTTTACTCTCACTGGCCGGCCTGATGGAGAGTGGGAATAGCCCAGTGCTAGCAGAGCTGCAGCAAGGCTGTCAATGATTGCTTTTGTTGCCGATATGAGTGCTCATTATTTCTCAACTGTTCTTTTTCAAACCCTATAACCCCATAATAAACAAAACGTATAACTAAGCCCTCGCTGTCGTAGGTGGTCAAGCTAAGGTATTTATCTTTTTTTGACATCCGGAGCCCAGTTTGGTATGTGATAACCGTGCTACATTAATTTCGGCAGATATTTGCCGGTATTGCTTCTTACCTCTGACTGACTGTTTTCCCGTGGTTCAGGTTCTCGCCACAGAACGTGCCGACCACGCTGGAGGTGCAGCCGGTGGCGATCCGCGCCCAGCGGCTGCCGCTGGCCGACGTCAGCGTCAGCACCCTGACGTCATCGGCGCTCTCCGACCTGCTCTACTTCCTGTTCGTGCCGGGCACCCTGTTCACCGTCAGGTGGGTCCTGCTCTACTTTCTGTTCGTGCCGGGCACCCTGTTCACCGTCAGGTGGGTCCTGCTGTACCTCCTGTTCGTGCCGGGCACCCTGTTCACCGTCAGGTGGGTCCTGCTCTTCCTCCTGTTCGTTCAGCTTCGAGCTCTTGAAAGTATGGGATTTGAGGCGCTGTCCGTGCGTATTTGACACTAATGTTATGCTCTTGTCAGTGTCTTGCTAATGAGCAGATATGTTTGGTTCATCACTGGATTGCACCGTCCGATTTCAGTATGTGGATTGTGGATTTATGATGTTGGGCATTGTTGAATTACATCTGTTATATTATATATACCTGTTCTCAAATCTTGATGTACCTTTCCAGTTTTCTGAAGCCAATTAAGATGGAAGAGGGAGAAGCGATTGCAGAATTTTTGGAACGCGTCCGACTGGCAATAGCACTTCATTTGAAAATAACGCCTACCAAGTTTTCTGCAGGCGATAAAGTGAGTTCTGTTCGTGAAATGATATGCTTTATTGTGCTTTTTGTTGACGTGATTTACATGTAATGTCGACTGTTACTCTCAAATATGTCATTTAGTGCATCTATATTCACCGTGAGGCGGGGCCTGCAGTATTGGATATTCTCTCCCCACTGGCGTATAATCGATTATCTCCGTGACCAGGCAGCGTCTATTCTCACAGTCCTGACGTATTATCGACTATCTTTGCGGCCAGACGGAGCCTGGGTGTATCACACATTTTCTCGGTGCTCGTGCATGATGTGACCGACTATCTCTGCTTCCAGGCAGAGCTGGTGAAGCGCGAGACGTTTGTGGCGGCGCCGCGGCCTCCCCGGCCGGCCGGTGTCGGCGCTGAGCTGCAGAGGATGGCCGGCCAGGTGAAGGAGGTGCTGCCCCGCGTGCCCCTGGCCACCATCATGACTGACCTCAGTGAGTTTTCGGCAGTCGCATCTTGACATGATTTTGGTGGTGGGGACAGGACTACAGCTGACGGCGAGCTGGCGTGGGGCTGAACTTTTTATTTTGTGTTTGTCGTGAAGCATCCAACGCATAGTAAAGAGTGAATGTTGGTGTGCTGTCTGTGAAGATGAACTTACGTTATATCAGTTGCTGTTGAAGAGGATCATGGAATACATAACCAGTAATGAGCCGCACTTGTCCCTTGTCTTCGTTTCTAACTCTCCCGTCTTTGTGCCCTCAGAGCGGACCCGCAGCGTGGACCAGACGATCGCCAACCTGCTGGAGGGTGTGGTGCGGTACGTACCGGAGCCGGCAGCCGCCGCCGCTGCCGGCCCGGCCGCCGGCGCCGCAGAGGGGCCGGCCGGCGCGCCGCTGCGGCCCGGCGCCACCGACCTGCACACGGGCGCCGATACGTTCTCCCGTACCTCGGCTGGCCGACAGCTGTCGTTTGAGGAGCGCAAACGGCGCCTGCTCGAGAACGCTCGGCGGCGCTACATCGAGCGACACGGCCTCAAGGTGCCGGGCTACAACTGCTGACGGCGGCTCGGCTGCTGACGACTGCTGATCGCTGCTGAGCCTGCTGATAACTGCAGACGGTGATGTACCCTTACCCGACGGGTCACTGGGGCGGGCCACCGCCACGCTAACTCATACCCGCCCCCTGTCTGGCCGACCTTCCGTCGAGACAGACGGCTGCAGCCGTGTCGGCTGCTGAGATCTGTACATTACAGTGTCCCAAAATTTGCTAGTTTGGGTGGGAAATGACAGCCAAATCAAAATAATTTTCCACTCTCACCTACAACTTTCCAGAGCAATTTTTCACTCCCTATTTTACCAAAAAAGAGCATCTGCGGGTACCTTTTACCTCCCTTCATTTTCGATTCAATTATCTTATAAAGCAGCTCCCACATCCTTCAACATTCACAAACACATTGTTGATTCCTGTTTTCCGCTCTCTTTTTGTGTCTTTTTGACTGGCATTTTTCCACTCTCAGCCCTCGTTCTAGTGACAAATATTCCCCTCCGACACCCAAGCCGAAATATAATTTTGGGACACTGGTACATTACATGTACCGCCAACCGGGGAGCTGGGGCCCTGTCCCGGGAATCTGAGCAATTATGACGGAGCTGGCGTAGCTGGCTTCCCATACTGACATGAATACTGCTGCTACGTCGTGAGCTTGTTTGTTAGAGCGTCAGTCTCTGGTGTAAGACCCACTCCGGACTGCCCGAATGAGATAGCGAGCAGCTCGCTAGTACCGTACCGAATATGTATTTTCTGGCAGTGATTCCTGAACGTGAGATCGTGGTTGTGTGTCCCACGGTTGTCAGGCGCCAGGCTGTCGGGTCGTCGTTGAGTTGACAGGTGTGTGGTTGGTACTTAGTCTGGGTGGGATGGTTCAGTGGGGTGAGGTGGCTGGCTGGTCTCTGGTCCGCGCTGGACCGCTTGGTCTGCGGTCCGTGCTCGACTGCCCGGCTCCTGTTTAGGTCCCGTCTTGCCGCCGGTTACGTCCGCTGCTGGTGGCGTCTGAACCCCGCTGTCGAGTCCGTCTCCAGAATCGACCGCCAACGCTGGCACGGATTTTTGGTACGGAATGTCAAACAATTATGACTTAATATAATTAAACCATGGCTGCTTGTTTGATACTGCTAGTGCCAAGTACTGGTGTTAGGTGGCTTTCCAGGTTCATGCCCCGAGCACGGACTCATCTGGCAGCGATAGCGTTTAAGTGTAATATCATTTGTCGATCTGCATTGCCTGAAGTGAGTAATGTTCATGTAAAGTAAAGTTTATCGAGGGTAATTTGCTCTAGTATCGTATACCGACTTACTCAATCAAATACTGAAGTGAGAAGTTTGCGCGATAATATAGAGGTGAATGATGTTCTTGAGAATAAATATCGAGACATTATCTTTATTGATTTACTCGTTTCCATCCTCCACGCTCGTTTAAGCCAAGTAACTAGCTACGATTTTGTTAGCAGCCAGTAATATTTTGGCTTAGGTGTGAACAACAGGTGTATCGCAGCTTACTGAATGGCTCGGCCTGCCATTTTTTTTTTTTTACTGATGTCTCCTTCGACCTTTGACATCACGCGTCTCGTGACTGATATCGTGGATGTCACGTGAAAGGTGTCCGCCATCAAATTGTCCTTATCTTGTCGCGTGAATGTCGTTCGCACTCCACATTCGAGTCGTTCCATCCCGCATGAGAGACTGTGTCGAATGTGTAAATTGGTCTGTGCATGAAACACCTTGGATAGGTATTTCCTAATATCTTATGCCTATTATCTCTATCGCTTAGCATCCATCCGTCCGCTTCGTGGTAACATTCAGGGCAGATGATAATGAAGATGATATATTTACCTGCACCACGAATCACGATACAGTGTATAGGGAGGTTCAAGTCTTCAAACTACTTTAAAAACGTCAAACTATGAGGGAAAAAACTTGTGATTTTTCGTTGCCATGTATCGACACTAGCAGTCCCAAATACAATATAACGATGCACACGTGTTAACATTAGGCACATTGTTTTATAGTCCAGACATCACTGGCACCATTTTCAGCTTACCGCAGTTCCGACAGTCATCAGTGATTAGGAATATAGGCGGCCACTTCATACTTGAACACTACAGCACGTGTCCTTGGAACACTTGAGTCTGTGGCCCAGATACACTGCGAGTCGGGACGCATGAGACACTTGCGCTATCATGTCAAACGTAACGATATTGAGTATTGACTCTCGAATTCAACTTACATACTACGACTGGAATCCAACGCTTTAGGGCATAACACTATCAATAAATATTTCAACGAATGACACTTATCTGTTACGTTGCACTGTCCCCTCTAGCTACAGTTTGCTCCGCATCTGCCCGTTTTCACTCAGTGTGAACCGTTTTCCCATAGTTCCCTGGGCATTGTCCATTAGATGTTGAGGAATGCTGGGGACTTTTTCAGGCTCACTAGGCTTGGATGGCTCCTTTTCGGAAGTGGAGGCTCCAAGGGTGTACCTCTTGGCCATTGTGCCCTGAGCGTTGTCCATTAGATGCTGAGGAAGGCTAGGCACAGACTCTTTAGCGCTTGACTTCGGAGGTTCCTGTTTAGCCGTGGATGTTCCAAGGGTGTGTCGCTTCCCCATCGTTCCTTGGGCATTGTCCATCAGATGCTGGGGAATTTGAGGAACTGTTTCAGGCTCACTGGGCTTCGATGATTTTTCTTTGGCCGTGGATGTCCCCAGGGTGTACCTCTTGGCCATTGTGCCCTGGGCGTTGTCCATTAGATGCTGAGGGATGCTAGGAACTGTCTCAGGCTCACTAGTCTTGGAAGGTTCCTTTTCGGACGCGGAAGTTCGCAGGGTGAACCTTTTGGCCATCGTGCCCTGGGCGTTGTCCATCAGATGCTGGGGCAGACGGGGTACCGTCTCGTCGGCTGCGGCCTTGGGCGACATGTTCGGCATGCGACGATAGTGGCTCGGCTCGAGTCGTTCGTACCCAGTCGCTTTGAAGTGGCCAGACGGCGTGCCGTTGCCAGACGAAGTGTATTATCTCGTTGCTGACCGCCTATCTGCAAGGAAGGGAGACCCGAGTTCAATTGTCAGACTGGTCGCTGCAGGTAATTTCATGAGGTGGTGGGGAACGTTTCGTTTTATTCTGGGTTACATGTGTGCCGCCGAGGCCGTTATCGCTCCTCAAACAGATGACACTGTTAGTCAACCGCCACGGCAATGTGACTGAAATAGGCCATAGTTCCAAGTTACGATATAAATACTTTTTTGGGGGCCGTTTTTTGAGGAGCAAGTTGACTAACGGAGTCGATAGCAGTTGCGATAGCAGAGTCGCTTACACAAGGTCATTGATCAGCTCGATCTAAAATTATGGGACAAAATGGTTACAAAAATACCTTGTAATAACAGGCGCCGATGCTGTCTACCAATGCAAGGATACGGACGGGTAGCAACTTTCGATTACAGAGCGAATGCGGATCCGAAGATTTTGAGCTGCGGTCTCAAAGAATAAACATGAAACTCACCTCGTAATATGATCCCAGCACGGCTTCTCTGCAGACTTGTGACCAGAATACTGGCTCTTCCACAACCGGAGGCCTCTCCTGCTCAGCTGTCCCCTTGTTGGACAGACTTGCTGTCCTCAGCTGTAACTTAGACGCAGCTCGCGCTCTCTCAGCGTCTGCCGATGCTCCTTCCTCGCCTCGCTGATCGACTCTGCGGCGTCGTCGCCGACTCGTCCGACCTGACTGCCGAGTGGCGGACTTCCCGTACCACTCCTGAGATAGCGTGGGTTCGGGGGTGGCGCTCGGGAAAACCGTGCCCTGAAGAGCGTGAAGGCCGCACTTCTGGGGCGGATAGCTGACACGTGCAGACCCAAAATGTGTGCCGACGAGGCCACTATCGCTCAAATAGGTGACAGTGGCTCATGATACGTCCGGTTGTTCTTATCATGCCCGTACTTATGCTGGTATCTAGATAAGGACGTTTCTGGGGCCAGTAGGTACAGATAATGTATGGGATGGCCTTGTCTGGGTCGGTTTGGCTGACTCGCTATCTTCGGCGGGTCATGGTTGGGAAGTTAAGTTTAAGCGCTTGGAAAGGCAGTGTGCATATTGAAGCAGATGTTCTCCTTGTGGGTGTCGCTCTACTGTGTGAGAATATACATACCAATATTTGTTGAGATGATATATTGGCATTGCTCTTTTGGTTACGTAGTCAAGCGGTTGTTGCTTCTCATAAAAAAGTGTTTTCAGCAGAAATAATCGGTGGAAAGAGACCAAAGATATCGCAGGCCAGACCGAGATAACGAGATAACGCAGGTTCAACCAAGATTACTTTACGAATAGGTTCAACTGTTCGCAGTACAAAGTTTTGCTATTCAGCCCTCTGTTTATTTGTTCTAGTTATATAACCGTCTGGTTAGTGGTGAGTCTCCTCCCCCTCCGGTGAGGTCTTACTATTCCATGAGGTCTCACTCGTATAGTGAGACTCCTCCCCTCCGCGGAGGTCTCTCACTCGTATGGCCCGGTAAGGTCTCTCACTCGTATAGCAAGACTGCTCTCCCGCCTGGTGAGGTCTCTTCAACCATACGGGCGAAACATGTCCGTCCTTCGGAACCCATTGTAATCGACCGGTACCACTAATTAGGTCAGAAAGGTAGCAGCATCCTCTCAATTGGCCTGTCTGCTGGTACCCCTCAGTCCTCACCAGGGTTGGCAGGGGGTGGCAAAAACTGGTTTTTGCCAGTGGTTTTAACCGGTTTAAACCGGCTGGCAGAAACCCTGGTGGCAAGAACTGGCAAAAACTGGCTAAAACTCAGATGGCCAAACCTACAACTTTTCTAGTTAGGAATGGATTTGAAATGTACAAATGCATTTCTGGGAGTTATATAGATGCACTAAACATTCTGAAGTTGCCTCATTACTTATCCCTGCTTAAAATGTCTATGCATGTCGGTAGACATCCACAACGGAATGCATTTCCATGCAAGGGGAGAGTGGGACAAGGCGGCCACGGTAAGTAGGGTGCCATGCGCATATCGGTGGCAGATACCTCTTCGCACTTCTGATTGTGCAGGACTCACCCAGTCACCCTTGCACTGGCTCATTTGTCACCCCCAAAAGGCATCTTACTAGCTCCTTATGGATAACCCACGAAAATGTTTCTGAGTTAGGTATGAAACATTTCAGTGGTCAATGTCACTTCCGTTTGAAAGCATAAAGCTTTCACCGAATTCTCCTTAAAATGTTTCCTGTTCAAAATCATGTCTAGGCATAGCATTGTGATATTTCTGAGTTTTTGCCAGTTTTTGCCACTTTTTGCCGGTTAAAACCGGTTTAAACCGGCAAATGGCATAAACTGGTTTTTGCCGGCAAAAATGCCAACCCTGGTCCTCACATGTATCTTGTAATGTCTCATAGCCGCACGATGACACCTCTAGCATCCGTATATTTCTGATTCCTTACCGCCCCACGGCTCGCAGCTGACTCGCCCGTTCCAGCCCGACCGGTGGGGCAGCTCGACCGCCAATCAGCAGACGGGTCAACGACCTCGACTCGGCGCCGGGAGAGGACTCGACTCCAGCGATCGTTTCGGGTCCGACGGGCTGCTCCTCCCTCCCCGCAGCCTCTGCTGGTGTCTAACAGCGCCCAGCGCTATCGCCGGCTCTGGTGGCTCAGGCCTCAGTTGGACATTAGACGGGCGGCCGAGCGAGAAGTTCAGTGCGTCTCTCTTCGGCTCCCACCTGTGACCGTTGGCCCTGTGGCCGGTGTCGCACGCGGGATATGTATTCCGATCAGTCCCCGGCAGCTTTTTGCATGGTTTATCGGTGCGGCGGAGCGAAGCGGATCCTGAGGCTTTAGGGACGGAGGGGCGTCAGGACGGTCCGGACTGCCAACCCTACATACTGTGGAAGTGTGGACTACCGCCCGGGTGAGCCAGCGAACATCGCGCAATGGCAGGTGAGAATAGCTTATTCTGCCTTAGTAAAGTAAAATTAGTAAAGTAATCATGCTTCAACCGGTTGTGGTGTTCATAGCCTGTGATGTTTGGCGGGGAGAGCAAAACATCACAGTAACAATTATGCATTATTTGCATGTTGCGTTGTTTGCATAGTCGATTTTCATTTATATACCTATATTTTTAGACGTTTTGTCGTTTTTTCTTTACTTGTGTTGCAAGCATATTTTGCCAAATTGTCAGGGAACTCAGATTTGTTTTTCAATAGAAAAACACAATTCTAAAGAATAGTGTTTTAACTATTGACAACAAACCTTCGGTTACAAATTTTAATGTTTCTTAGTGGTTGCCTTTTTAGCGTCAATAAATCGTCTTATCTAGTTACACTTTTTAGAACAATTATGTTGGGCTCGTTTTACCTCTGTTTGCACTGTTGAGGTAAAATGTCACGGGTGTTTTACGACACTGTGATTGCAGGTTCCGTGAGCCGACTGGCGGCGCTTCTGCTGTCTCCGGTGCTGGTGCTCCACACCGCCACAGATGTCGCTGCTGCAGCGGCAGTAGTACCAGACCTTCCCGCTGTCGCCGCCGATCCAGACGACGGACCAGAGCTCTGGCAGCTGAAGCCGTCAGAGGTAACCCTCGAGGTGGCCTCCTCCGGCCAGTCCTGTGAGGTATGGGTAGGCGGGCGTCTGCTGCTCCACCGCCTCGGCCCGCCGCTCGGCCTGCACGCTCTCTCTGTGAACCCACGGACCGGGCGCGCCACGGGACACGTCACAGCACCCGGCGGTGTGCCGGCCGGAGCATTCGTGGAGATGGCAGCATTCATAGCCGACCTGCAGCCGGGCAGTGTGATCGTGCTCTGCCAGCATTCAGACGCAGAGATGGTTCTCGATGACACTTCAGACGAGGTGTTTCGTTCACTGAACGCTAGTTTCGGGTCCGATCTGCAGGTGCGCTCGGCGCTGGCGCTGGTCGTTATAAAGGACGGTCCGGTGTTGGCTGAGGGGTACCGCCCACACCTGGCGGCGCTGGAGCTCAACTCACCAGCACCATCCGTCCGACTGGCTGTATCAGTACCGGTGGAGGCGCCCTGTCAGCCACCGATATCAACCTCTACCTCCTACCGGCTCCGACTGGAGTTCTGTGAGCGATACGACGGCTACGGATCGCTGTGTGATTGCCACTCGCCGCTGCCGCTGCCACCCGTCCCCCGGCCGTTCGCTGACGGAGGGCTGTTCCCGTTCCCTGTGGTGGTGGTGTCTGCCGGCCGGCCTCGCAACCTGCACCGATGTCTGGCCTCGCTGCTCGCCAACCCCGGCCTGGACCCGGCGAGGTTAATTGTCATCACGGCCAGCGAATCAGTTAACGAGTACACCACAGATGACAGCGGTAACGGAGAGGAGCTGCGGCGCCTGTTACAGCTGTACGGTGTCCGCTGGCACCCTGTGAATGCATCACCGGGCAGCGGAGGTTTCAGTGGCGGCTTACTGCAGCGTGCCGCTCTTCAGGCTGCTCTCAGCCTGTTCCCCACCGCAGAGAAACTCGTTCTGCTGGAAGACAATGTCGTCGTATCGCCTGACGTGCTCAGCTTCTTCCAGCAGACACATCACCTGCTGGACGTAGACATTAGCCTGTATGGCGTGTCAGCGGGTAATGAGCTCGGTTATCGACACGCTGTCTCGGACCGCACAGCCGTGTATAGAGTCGACTCGGCACCGGGCGGGGCGTGGCTCCTAACGCGCCGTCTCATCACAGACGATATCCTGCCGGTTTGGGGTAGGAGTGAGGGACCTGAGCCGGAGCTGAGCGAGTTGTTCCGACGAGCCGACCTGCGCTTGGGACGTGAGTGCATCATCCCAGAGGTGCCCCGTTTCTACCGGTTTGTGTTTAATCAGAGTGATAACGGGACGGACTATCTGTACCATTGGGACCGGGCAGTGAGCGAGGGCCCGCCGGTGGCCCTGCGGGGCCTGGAGGACCTCCCCCTGCCGCGCTACCGGCGCCACCTACAGGCACTCATCAGTAGCGCCACCAAACTGGACGGCACCCAGTCGCGGCTCGACTGTTCGGAGATAGTACCGAGGAACGCCACTGCCGAGCCTCTGCTGCTCTCCGTGCTGATGATGAGCGGGTCGGACGGGGTGAGCTGGCAGCGAGCGGCCGCCTGTCTCGGTCTCTGGGACCGCGACGCGCGCGGCCACCACGCCGGCGTGTGGCGGCTACGACACGCCGGCGGCGGACCGCTGCTCGTACTGGCCGTCCCGTTCTCGCCGCTCGCCGGGTATGCGACGCTGCACGGCCGCGGTACTATGCTGCTGGTCTCGGCAGTGAGATCTAGAGAGCAGCGTCGGCGCGGACGCTGGCCACCGACACCGCCCCGGCCCGGGCCTGACCGGGTGCTCGAGAGGTACCGCTGGGCAGCCGCGGCGGCGGGGCTGAACAGGACTCTGCTGGGGGAGGAGCTCGTTCGACGGGGTGTGCTAGATCATCACGACCTCACGGAAGATGAGGATGACGGAGATCTGAGGATGCAAGAAATGTCATAGGCGTGGTGCTCTTTACTAAATGGGTGAATGTGATAGTATTGGGCGGACAGCCCAGTCACGTTTTAGGACTGCTGGCCAGTGTTGGTTGTTTGCGATATTTCTATCACGCAGCCTGCAGGAATCGGTGATGTCTTTCGTGAGACGTGCGCTCAGCTCGGGGTACCGAGCGTTAGAATCTTGCTAATGTCGGGACTCGGGAGTGAGGTCAGTCAATGTTGTTAGCTTGTCGTACCGTAAAACGTTACAATATTGAGCCAATAAATGGCATGTGGTCTATATGTAGTCGTCGCACACGTTATCTAGGCAGGTGGTTCTACCACATTGAGGCTTATTAGCGTCCCTGAGCTGTCACACGTGACAGCATGCCATTTGCTAAGTGCTCAGTACTTCAGAGAAGGGTCTTGAATGTCAGTTTATTTATTCAAACCTGCACTCCACAAATACCGTGACGATGTTCCGACATTGCACTACGCGACAAACTACTCTCGTTTTGAGCGTCTCGCACCTAGAATAGACATAGCAACATACTATTTGACTCTCATCACTAACACTGTTAGTATATCACATTCACGGTATTTTCGCGCACAGTATGACTGAAAACATTCGCTGTTTTCCGTATCACACCAATCAGTCGGTACAACGCTATTGCCATAGGAATTGGACCTCCCCCGGCCACCAGCTATGGCTCAAGTGTTCATTCGCATCGCTAGATGGCGGGCTAGTAGGGATGGGCCACCACCCCAGCCCTGTAGTCGTATTGTGTCATGGCGTGCGGGTCGCTCATGCTGTGTCGGACGCGGCCGCGCACGTCGAAGCCCGGTTTCGGGTAGCCTCTCCTGTCGCCGTAGCCGTGCGCGGCGGGCGGCGCCTCCTCAGCGCGCTGGTGGCGCGGCTCGTCGTCCCTGTAGAGGCGCGGGTCGTCCTGGTAGCGGCCGCGCGGCCGGGACTCGTCTCGGCGCTGCTCGCGCGCCGGCGCCGGCCGCCGCTCACGCACGTCACAGCTGCGGTCGCGGCGGCGCGGCAGGTTCTGTCGGTAGTCGATCTCGAGCGTGGGCCGGTGTCGGCCTGCCGGCTCGGCGGGCGGCAGTAGCGGGTCCCGGGCAGAGTCTCGGTCCAGGCCGGGCAGCCGGCTGGCGCCCTGCAGCTCCTGGTAGCGACTGCGCCGCTCGGCGGGCTGGCCGCCGCCGGAGCGGTGCCGGCCGGCCGGCGGCGGAGAGCTGGGCTGCTCGGCCGGCGCGCGGCCCCGCTGCCGCAGCTCTGCCGCCACCTGGGCTGAGGTGCGCCGCCACTGAGCCTGCTCCGACTCCAGGCCTGTGTCGCTGGAGCGCGACTTGGCCAGTCGGCCGGGCCGCGGCGCGTCGCTGGCCTCCGAGGGACGCCGCACTGCCGGCTGTCTGCGCGGTGGCGGCTCCTGGACCGGATCCGGCTCGAACTCTGACCAATCGGGAGCGCGGCTGACGCGCACCGGCGCCGCCGCCGGGTCTTCGAAGCTCATAGCGCGTGTGAAGGGCGTGGCCTCCGCGGCGCTGCGCACCCAGCGGTCGACGCGGGCGCGCACCTCGTCCGGGCGCGGGTCACTATCGGCGGGGAACGGAGCGCTGTCGGCGGCCGGCGGGGGTGGCTCGACGTGCCGGCCGGTGCGCACGGCGCCGCGCACGCGCTCCTCGCCGCGCTCCTCGTGACGTCGGTGGTCGGCGCGCACCTCTGGACGGTACTCGGGCCGAGGCTCCGGGCGGCCGGCGGGCTCGCGGCGCGGCGGCCGGTCGAGCTCGTCAGGCGCCGCGCGTCTGAAGATATCGGCCACGTGCGGCCGTCCGCGGGCGTCCCTCCTCAGATCCTCCTCAGTCGGGTCGGCGGCCGGAGCGGGTGGGAGCGGCGCCGGCGGCTCCGGGCCGGCGCTGTCCGCCCGGGAGGCGCGCGGCCGGCGCCAGCCCTTCTCCGGCTCTCCCAGGCCGCCGTCCCTCGACTCGCGGCTGATGTTCAGGTTGTTGCGCACGTTTCTGGGGTCTCTGGGTTCGTCCCTGTCCGGCTGCGGCATACGCCATCCCTTCTCTGCGCGCGGGTCGCGGGAGGGAGGCGGAGGATCGGCTCTGCCGCCGGCGTCAGGCACACTGTTCTGACGCCAGAGACGACCGCCGCTGTGCTCTGGAACACCTGCGGTAGAGAACAGACGCGGTTAGAGCAGCTTATCATACCGGGCGGCACGGCCGCACCCACTCCGGGATGGAGCTCACGCATGTATCGCGCCTCGCAGCCGAAGCATGGCCCTCCGCCGCTTACTCAGATATCACAAGACAACAGAGTGATGGATCGCCGCATTACCTGGTCGAGATAAAAAGGTAGGCGCTCATTACAAACACAGGCGGGCCTAAAGAGGAACTGTAACCCTGGGTTCGGCTTACACCACCGAGAGATTATGTAGATGTCCTCTGGAATGCAGTCTCTGTGGCGCAATGAGCCAGTGAGGCAAACGGGTCTTGCGCCCTGTCTATGAACCCCAGGGCCACCGGCCAGGACCCTGATATATCGCCACTTTGTTATGGTGTAACTCGGTGGAGTAAGGGTCACTGAGATAATAATCATGTGCAAATAGAAAGTCATTTGCTGTCATTGATGGACTTGATTCCTGGCAATACCCTAATGAATATGCAAATACGTACGCTTTATCCTAGATGCAGGTAATTTTTATTTTCCATAAATGCGGAACGAACGTTTTTTTTTTTTTAGTTTTAAAAGACCTTATGACTACGTAGATACAGACCGAGCTCAAAGGTCTAAGGCACTGTAAGATACGACTGATGGGCAGTCAGTCTATCACTCGCGACTTTATCAGGGATTTTCCGTCGTTATTCGCAGCACGCGAGAAACACCGTCTCAACTCACCGATGCCGGGAGAGGTGGGCTTTTTCGGCGCTACGGCCGGCGGCGGGGTGACCTCTTTCTGCTCCATCTGCACAAACTTGAGACGGGCATTGTTGAACCTGTCCTGTGGCGACGTCGAAGGCGATCTGAAAGAAGATGGAACACAGCTGGTCAGTTTTCGATGACTGGAGTAAAAGCTCGTCGTTTCGGGTATTTTTATGCGGAGATATGGTCCCTCGTATCAAAATGAATGACTTTCATGCTGTAGATATGCAGGGGGCGTAAGAGGATTTCTCTATGAATAATTCACATCTAGCGGTGTCCACGGCTGTGCGGTTCTGCGACGACGCCTGTGTTTGCCGTCGGTCCATCCGCAGGGAGTGGCGGGATCCGCCGCTTGGGACAGTGGTTGGTCGGTAGGTCGGCCCGTTATCTCATGGCCAGCGTGTCTCTCGATGGGTCTGATCAGCCACCGACCGGTAGGTACACCAGCGGCACACCTCACGGTGACCTCCAGTAGCCGCCGCCAAATGATGCCGCAGGAGGACCGGCACGGGCGATGAGACGCAGGCGATGGGAGCTTTAGACAGTGGATGACGGTCATAGAGCAATGGGAGACGGCGGACTATCACTGGGCAATGGGAAACGGCGGAGGACCATCAATGGGCAATGGGAGACGGCGGAGGACCATCACTGGGCAATGGGAAGTGGCGGAGGACCATCAACAAGCAATGAGAGACGGCGGGCGATTTAACGAGCGATGAGAGACAGACGGGCAATGGGAGGCTCCGATGACAGACCGTTTGCGAGCCATATGATACGATTGGGGACCGCCACCGGTGGCTGAGGGCTGAATGCCGATCATGGCCACACCGACAGACGGCGGATTACCGAGAGCTGACGAGCGGCGGGAAATCTGCACTCAAAGCGGGTCACAGGGACGTGGCTTTAAACGGCGATGTGAGTGCATACTCCATTCAGTTTAGTTAATCGCAGCGGGAATGGATTCGGTACGACGGCATGTAAAGGGACATACGGGACTGGGACGAGATGACACAGGACACGACCCGGGACAAAGCCAAACAAATAGGGGATATACGGACGGACAGAGATGGGCGGAATAGATAGAACAGAACGGGTGAGATAGAGACAGCTCAGCAATAGAGTTGCGGGCCAGACGTCCGTGAGATGTCATTTAAATGCAACCATTGAAGCTGCCAAACGTGGACAAGATTGCACGGAGCGAATGAGACCCATTGCTAACGGGAAGACCGCAGCGACGTGACGGACACTACCGATTGGATAGTAGCATTTACATGCATTTACTGACAGTATAACGGGGCGACACTCGCTATGTCAGCAACGCTGTCCAAACAAGATGCCAACTTAAGATGACAATAACAAATACAATACGTTCATTGCACTGCCGATTACAGGCAAGACCGCAACGGTGCTTCAAGGTTAGCGGTGCCAAATACAATACGAGTGCTTGTGAACCCGTTTTAAAGTCAACAAGGCCTCGTCCGACCTGATTCGGTCTGAGAGCTATTGTTGAGTGAGTGTGGAGCCACCCGCCGGCCCAGTCAGTTCTCTATATACCGTGGCCCAGTCGTTTTCCGAGCGAACAGCGTGCGCCGCACTTGAATAGGCCGTTGCGTAATTTGGGCCGACGGCGGGCAACGAGCATCTTTCGAGGGAACGCATGCCTTTGTACGCAGCATTTCATTCTTGCGACATAAACCACACAATGCAACGGGGACCGAGTTGAGTCGTCTCGTAAAGATTCGAGCGTCTTCGTTCTTCGTGACGTAAACTGCCTGTCACCATTTGTCTCCGTATTACATGAGACACGTGACGAAGGTACCCGCTAGTCACCAGAAACGTGAATTTCGTTAGACATTATGACATGTCATTACAAGGGGCACCATCTTTCCTGTGTGATGACAAACACCAGTCTTAATCGGTCTAATTTCCTCTAGTCTTCTACATCAGAGGAGCCTGTCTTCCGTAATCAGCAGCTGAGGTGGATAAATGGCGGCGTAGTTTGCTGCAAAAGGTGAGTTAAATGCGTACAAATCAGCCCAAAGCTGTGCGGCGCAGGGAAGGATCCGAACACGCAGGGCCTTGCAGCGGGCTGT